GAAGCAGACTGCCTCGTGCTTCTCCTAGTAGGTTTGAACTGTCAGCCTTTCATGCAGCAGCCAAGCACTTAACCCACCATGCCACCAGGGCTCCCTGAATCTAGGCCGCGCAATGTCCCTGTCTGTGAAATGAAAGAACAGGGAACCAGGACCTCTTAGAGTACGCTCACCAACTCTACTTGAGTAACTATGATTTTAGAGGCAATCTTCGAGTTATGTAAACCAGGATGAAGCTAATCGTATCCCAATTTACAAGGTGCTACAGGGGTCAAAAAGTACTTGCCCTCCTGGTGTCCAGCATCTAACAAGGTACACGATGGTCAAGTACACCAAAGGGAATACTTACAGTCCTCGGCAACACAAGGTCTCTGCCACTCGGGGAGACATTACAGTAAAACTCGCCCCATACTTTTATGGCAATGTGGGAAATGGAATGAAGAGGGTGAGTGGACACAATGAAGAAAATGATTCTTGTTAATACTGCACTCCACTCACAAAGGCCTTACAGTAAGTCCTCAGAGAACAAGATATAATGAAGCCTTTACTACACATAAGGCTTTGGCAGAAACAGACATGAGTCTATTTACAAAAGCAAGATGGACTGCTGAGTTTCTTAATGAAAGTCACCTGAAAGCAGGGGTTCACTTTAAAATCGCCCCTTCCTAGAGTGGGGTCTCAATGATAGATCGAGCTTATGATGGATTAATAAACTGGGCTTCACCTGTCAGTTGACTCAATAAGGAAATGAAGGCAAGGTTACCGGACAACCAAGTCATGAAAATGGAAAGAGAAACGAAGCAGCACACTCTTTTCAAGTTGTCTGGGAAATGAGAAAGGGGGGTTGAAAATGAACTACATAAAGGGAATATTTAACAGGGTTTTTAAATAATTGGCAATGATCAGGTATTTAGTTTTTAGAAGAGGTAGATTTTTTATACACACACACACACACATATATACTTTTTCTAATAAAACTTTTCACATTCTAATTAAAAAATACTTTATGGAGGAATTAAAAAGATACAATAGTGTCAGAGGAAAAGCCATGATCCCAGAAGTGGAATATTCTAACAACATAACTTACAAGAAACTACCCTATAAACACAGATTGTTGATTAACACAAACGCATAACAAAACGCAGAGAACTATCACAATGTTCTGTGATAACGTTTGGCTGCTGAATTCTTTCAATACATTAAACATCTCCTTGGAGACCAAATTACTTTATATTTTCTTAAAAGACAATTTATTAGAGCTTTGTTTTCTTCTCATTATCTCTTAAAAATATATCTAATGAAAAAAGGAATATGACTTCTAAATAACATACATAAAATGCTACTAATGTGTGACAACAGACTTTGGCTTAATATGTTGGTTATTATTTAACAGCACACAACAGCATATTGTCATGACAAATCCTCACCACAATACAATATTCCACGTGTCACATGCATCAAAAACCACTGCGTGCCATTATTATGGCACACATAAAATTAGCAGCCTACTATGGCTGCTATTGATTTAAATAATTGATAAGTTTCCAATTAAAAAGGCAACATTTTCAGGTCTAATACAAAAATCTATTAAAATTACTGATTAAAACTTAGGCTTGTGTTGGTTCAAAGCCAGAAAATGTTTGCCTAAGAAAAACAACAACAACAAAGGTAATCCTGCAAGGTTGGGTTTTGTTTTTTTTTTTTAATTTTAATGCAGAGATTTAGGATCACTTAACATTTGTAATCAAACTGGGGGAGAATAAGTAAAGGAATTATAGTACAAAGTGTTTCCAGTTTTGCTTCCTCCCATATTGCTTTTAAAGAAATACCAAATTGACCACACATTTATTATGTTCTACATGCAAACCTAAGCTGATTTTTCTATATATATTTAGCTATCTGTCAGTATCTTCCCTAGGCCACCACACCAAATCCAGAGACAAAATTCTCCAGATCCTAGCAGAACCTAAAAAATAAAGACCAATGAAAGTTTTTAGTTTTAGGCTGGTAATCTTGAGGATCATCAATCAAAATGAATTGTGATACAAGGTCCAAATGATTCTCCTTATGATAAAACTGGTCCCCAACGGAATTTCAACAATAAGACGCAAGAGACATATCAAAATGACAACCACCCAATCTTGTACTTTTGAGGGGTTTTCTCTATTCTTTACCAGTTAAGTGTTTATTCAGTGACACCAGTTATTTCCAAAAGTGAGCAATATCGCCCCCTGCGGGTGCCGGAAGGATCCAAGAGGAGCTGCAAAAGCAGATACCTCCACTTTATCCCGGATGCTGGGCTAATAGTACCCAAGTTCTTCATTGCCAAGGGAGGGCCGAGCTCTTTTTTTTCTGAAAGGGGAACAGTAGGCCAGAGGAGTTTGGGAACCTATGCTGGACGCAAAAAAAGGGCAGGTGACTGCGGGGATTATAGCAACAGACACGGGGAAAGGAAATCCATGAAAGTCTGAAATGACTTAACACAGTCTCACGCATTTATTTTTATCTTCATCTTGAACTTGGTCCAAACACTCGGGATTGGGGAGACTCAGTTGCTATCAATATCTGTTGAGTGAACTAGTGAGACTTGGAGTCGTCAAACCCTAATCTATGAACCAGTATTCATCAAACATTTTCACCTCTCAGACCAAAGTAGCAAAAAATAATATTGTAGTGGATTTTACATACAGCCAACATAGCTCACTTAAGAACAATGGCCATCTTTACCTCTGGCATTATGCCTTGTCCACAGTTTGAATCTTTAACTCCCACAATTTTGTGTTTTCAAATCAAGTGATGGTAACAGTAATTTTATTAGCTCACTAATATTATCAATATGCTCATAAGGCAAAAGTAGGTTACCTGCTAAGGTCTGCCCCTTGATATCAAAATAAAAAATGGCTGCTTTGCACAATCTCATTACCTCAGAGTCAGTGAGCTGGACGATCTCTTTGTAGGAGCTACAAGTAGCTCCTGAGAAACCTTGGGAACTACTAGTTATAAGAAGAACTGCACAACAAAACATTAAGCAAATGCTGAATTTTCTCGAATAAGCTTACTGTTAGGGATAGAGATGTTACACGTATTTGAACTGAGGTGTTATAAAAACAGAAATCACTCAGCATTTAATAATAATTTACAAGGGTGGTGTGAGTGTGTGTGTGTGTGTTGTGAGAGAGAGAGACAGACAGACAGAGACAGAGACAGAGAGAGACAGAGAAACAGTGTAAGCCAATGAATGAGCATGGTATAAGAAGTTGAACATAAATTCCATAATTGCATTCATCTGGTTGTAAGATCCTGGGGAAGTCTCTGAGCCACGGTTCCCAGATCTAAAAAACAGAGATAACTGTACATACCTCGCAGAGTGATTACTAAAAGTAAATAAAATACCTCAAGCAACTGGTATATAGCAAGCTCTTAGAAATGGAAACTGTTGCTATGATCACCCTCGGTAATGTTCCCAAAAAAGGACAATTTGTCAGATCCTTCCAAAAGCACATTACTGAAAGCATACCCCTGTGTATGGTTATGTCAGATACTTAATGAGAGTTCACTGGTAATTCATTCTTGCAAGAGATCTATCTGAGAAAACCCGAACCCATCTGTGTGTGCTTTCCAAGAGTGTTCTTGTCACATTCTCTGGAGAGTTAGCCTATCTATCAATACCTGCGCTAGACCTTTCAGCAGACAATCTTCCCTGCCTTTCAAGGTACGGATGAGCCCAGCTCTAAATTTTCAGTACACAAAGACTCCCACATAAGTTAATGGGAAGTCAATGGGAAATTGACTTTTCCTGCTCTGTGCTGGTTGAAAGCAATGCTCTGTTAATCATGCCATTCTTCTTGTTCTCTTTCCTCCTACCCTAAATTAAAACTACTGGAGAAAACCCACACAGATTTATTTTTTTTTTTTTTACGGTTTTCATTACAATGAAACAACATCCTGGTTTAAGCAAAGGTCTCTCACAAACGTACAACCTCACCAGTTGGCTAAGGTGGTCTCTGTACTGAGCCACACACACGGGTCCTGGGTCCATGGGCTCCACCAAACCCCACTTTGCATTTGTATAGAACTCCTAACTTTCCACATCTATTGCCCCCATTGATGACTACAATGGCCCTGCGCAGCAGAAAGGACAAGTATTATTATCCACAATTGACAGATGAGGCAGCAGCAGCTCTGCAAGGTTAAGTGATTTGCCTAAGGCCAGGGAGCCGGAGGGGAGGGTGGTCTCTGCTCTTTCAGCCACAACACTGGGGAGGGCTTTGGAAACAGACTACAAACACAGAAACAGAGAGAAGAAAACTCCAATCTGGGCTCACTTTCACTGTGTGGCACTTGAATTTACCAAGCATCACACTAAAGTTTCTGAAGGACACTCCTTTCTCTTGTTATCTACTTTCCTTAGAAACAAATGTTAATGGGAAATTTCAGTGACATTTGAAACACGAAAGAAAAGTCATTTCTGGATAGATTCAAATCACTTGGATTCAGCAAGTAACCCTGTAGTTCATCTTGGGGTGGGAGGAGGGAACAGAACATAAAATAACTCAGAGCACCTCTTTAAACCGTGTTTCCATATTAAGCCTGCAGCTACAGTATACTATAGTCTGTTTCGAAGGGTGAAAGAGATCTCCAGTTGAAAGTAGATTTTGAAAAATATTTTAGAGCCCAGGGGTTCATTTTTAATGAGCCGTTACTTTAAGTACTGCATAAAAAATACAGGAAATTGATAGTCCATTTAGTCTGCACCATACCTAATGCAAAAGTCATTAAGATGCATTATTCTTAATGTTCATGATATGATCAGTAAGTGTACAGTCCTCTGAAAAGAATGCCCTTAACTTTCACATACGAGGATCTTTGAAAACCTTACATATGATACAGCGCAATGTTATGACAACTGTAATTTAACTTCCATAGCCTCACTATGCCTGGGGAACATCATCCTCAATTACATTAACATTCTAAAAAATAGTCCTCATTTGTAATATACTTACATATGACAGCATTGCCTTCATTTCTTCATCACTTCTCACTGTAATTCGATCACCATCTTCATCTTCATCTGTTTAAAAATCAACATAATGTAATGAGATTTATTTTTTAAATGTACAAAAATCATGCTAGGAAGGAACATGTACAATTGGTTTTTTACAATTAGATTATAAATTCTAAAAACTGTAAAAGACAAAAAACAAACCCTCAACATTATAGGTTGGGGGAACATTAGGGTCATTGATTAGTTTTCTTTTTCTAGCATCTCAATTAAAACCCAAAACCAAAAAACAGTGCTGGTTAATTCTGACTTCTAGCGACACTATAGGGCAGAACTGAGCTCCTCTCGGGGCTGGCAGGGCTGTGCCCCCATGGACGCAGACTGCACCATCGTTCTCCCTCTGAGTGGCCAGTGGGTTTGAACCACTAACTCGTCCGGTCAGCAGTCAAGCGCTTTCACGGAGGCACCACCAGGCCCCCTAGCATCTTAAAAAAAAATGGGAAAGCAATTTTAAGGATAGCCCAGATTACAACAATGCTTGTGTCATTCACAATACCTATCTTCAAAAAATAAGTATAACTAGAACAGGTTTGGTTTGAAAACTTAAAAAAAATAGAGAGAGAGAAAGAGAGAGAGAGATCAGTGTAGTTCTGGTAATAATACTTAAAAATGCTTCCCAAACAGCACCCTCTCCCTCGACTTCTCTGCTCTTCCTCTCTCCTGGGTATCTCCTGGGTAACTGATCAGTCACAAAAGCATGGTACAGATGACTATCATTTATTGACTACTACCAAAGTCAAGCAGGAAAAAGATGAGGTCGTCCACTGTCATAAAGATGATGGCAACAAATGTACAAATGTGCTTGGAACAATGATGTATGTATGGATTGTGATAAGAGTAGTATGAGCCCCCAATAAAATGATTTTTTTAGAAAAAGATTTACAACCTCAGAAACCCTGTACAGTGCTCATTATGAGTCGGAATCAACTCGAAGGCAGTGGGTGAGCATACACAAGGTGCCGCAATTTGTGCTTCCTGTGCAGCACTTCATCAACAATCTAACAACAGCTCCCTGATAGCGGCATCCGCTTGGTCACTATTCTCCTTTTAGAAGAGAAGAAATGGGGGTCTTTTTGGAAGATGAACCCCAACACACGTGGTTCCTTAGTTCATGCTACCAGCAGCTCATTCTTTCTCTCTCGGGGCAGTTTCGTCTGTATTGGGTATTCTCTGATCATCAATAAATTGCAGGGGTCATTCGTGTTACATTAAAATAATGCAACAGTTTTAAGAGGACTTTAGAAAACACACAACCAGAAGGTAGCCATTTGGATAGATGTGATCATCAAAGGAGCCACACTAAGAAATAATCTACCGATTTAAAAAATGTGTCTCTTATTACACACATTTTAAAGAAGCTCTTCAAAAACTGCTTTCAGAACCCGAGGACAGACCAGATGAGAATATTCTATCTCATTTGTTGACCCCAAATAGAACTGTTGGCCTGGTCCCACACCCACACCATCTGCCAGGCAGGGCGCAGAATGACTCTGGCTCTTTCTAAATACTGAGAAAGCTACCTCATCCTCTGAAAGACAGCGATTTGTCAGTGGTGACAACAGCCTATGTGGTCGGCTTTAACTGCACGGCTGAAAACAATGCCAGAACTGCTTGAGCGGCGGGAGCCTTCCTGGAAGGAGTGCCCAGCTTCCTGGGACGACAAACTGGAAGGGCCTGACTCCTGTTTCAGTGCTTCAGCTTTCGTACACTAAACAATCATTAGGATTATTTTTTGGTCACTCGCGGGCTTATCATGACTCACTTGATAAGATGCAACAATCGCTCGGATTCGAGGTCTAGATGACCACAGACAGAATCCCATCATGAAGACAATACATTTGCGGGGCACGCTCTGGGAACTTTTACTGATTATACAGGGGCCTGGGGTTCAGATGTGGATCTTGTCTGCCCCTCACCTCAGTGGGCACTCTCAGGGACAGTTCTGAAGACAGTCCCTGTTCTGTGAGCAGTCTGGGGGAGCCCGAGGTGCTCTCTCCCAATTAGCCTATTTCAGAGCAAAATCCTTCTTCCTTCTTACCCTCAGCAGCCAACTGCAATCTGACAGCGGGAAGGAAATCAGCACTTAGGCCAGCCCCTGCTCAGTGGCCAAGCCAACATCTCATCAAGATGTTGTTTCCCAGGAACTTGTTCCTGGATCTGGCATCTCGGGGCTGGAGTGCCTCTCGCCGAGTGCCCCACCTCAATCGGAAGCACTGTCATCAAGTCACACTGTCTAGAGAGTTGGTAGCTGTGGGGAGTGGCTGCCATTATTAATCCACCAAGACCTGTCTGGTTTGGGGTAGGAAAGTGGCATATTGGTCACTTTCAGAAACAGAAAGGCTGCCAAGTGCCTAAGGAGTCTGTAGGAGTCTAGTGCTTTCTTTCTCTGTCTTTTCACAATGTCTGGACTCTCTAGAGCCAAACACAGGTAGGGGCTGGTGGTAGGAGCAGCCATTCTCCAGTTGTGGAAAAGCAAGGAAGGAATTTCCACATTGGTTGTAGATATTCAAAGGGAAGTTGAAAAGCTTTCTTTAAAATGTAGTAGATGGGGGGGCAGACACAGTGAAAGCTTCCCTCCCATCAAGTCTATTCCAACTCATTGTGACCCTACAGGACACAGCAGCATGGTCCCTGTGAGCTTCTGAGGCGGTAAATCGATAGCATAGCAGAGAGCCTCACTTCTCGGAGGGAGTGGCTGGTAGTATGAACTGCTGATCTTGCAGTGAGCAGACCAGCAGATGACTCCCCATGCCATCAGGGTTCCCCTGATGTAGTGGAAAGGTAATAGTATTATATAGCACCACACAGAGAGGAACTTACATTTTTGCTTTAAAATCAAGTCCAATTCTCTGTTTAAATGTAAACTAAAAAGTATTTATGCTTGAGAAGTCTTGAACTTGGTTAAAGAACAATTCCCAGCCTGAACATAATCTTTTTGTTTTTGTGAATCTAATTTCTGCACCAGAGCTAGCTTCCAAGATGATAGTTAACAAAAAAAGGCTGTCTAAAATGGATGCAAAAACAAATGTGGTGAAGAAAGCCGATGGTGCCCGGCTACCAAAAGATATAGCATCTGGGGTCTTAAAGGCTTGAAGATAAACAAGCAGCCATCTAACTGAGACACAATGAAGTTCACATGGAAGAAGCACACCAGGCTGTGTGATGAGGTGTCGATGGGATCAGGTATCAGGCATTAAAGACCCAGAACAAAAAATCATAGCATTGTGAATGAGGGGGGAGTATGGAGTGGAGACCCATAGCCCAACTGTAGACAATTGGACATCCCCTTACAGAAGGGTCACAAGGAAGAGACAAGCCAGTCAGGCTAAAGTATAGCACCTATGAAACACAACTTTCCTCTAGTTCTTTAATGCTTCCCCCAACCCCACTATCAGACCTCAATTCTACCTTACAAATCCAGCTAGACCAGAACACATACATGGGTACAGATAAGAGCTGGAAACATAGGGAATCCATGACAGATAACCCCCCCCAGGACCAATATAGAGGGGAGCGATACTAGGAGGGGAAGGGGAAAGTGGAAGGAGAAAGGGGAAGCCGATGACAATGATCTACCTATACCCCCTGCCAGAGGGACGGACGACAGAAGTGAGTGAAGGGAGACATCAGTCAGTGTATGACATGAAAAAATAATAATAATTTATAAACTATCAAGGGTTCATGAGAGAGGGAGGGGTGGGAAGGGAGGGAGGGGGGAAAATGAGGAGCCAATACCAAGGGCTCAAGTAGAAAGAAAATGATGATGGCAACAAATGTACAAATGTACTTGACACAATGGACGGATGGATGGATGGATGGATTGTAATAAGAGCTGCACAAGCCCCCAATAAAATGATTCTTAAAGCCTGTCTACATTCAAATTTTAATACATATAAGTCCTCAATAAGTACTGTTCACATGGGTTGGTATGGGAGGTGCATTTGTAGCTAAATAAAGCAATATAAAAACCTTTCCACAATTTGTTAAGAGAGGAATCAAATTCCAGAAAGATCATTGAAATCACATCGTCCCTGAATCGGGAACAGAGGGAAAAAAGGGGAGTGGAAGTGGCGAGTTCAAGTTCTCAAAGCCAGCTTGGACCTGTAAAGCCACTTGAAACAAGTCTGGAGTTCTATGAATCTCTGAAGGGATTACTGCAGTAAAAAAAACGTGAGAGAGGCCAGCTATCAGAAAAGTGTCCTGCCGAGAAGTTCCATAAAAGTAGCTATAAAACCCTACCAAGGTACTCCAGAAAACACCAAACAAACAAAACTGGAGGACAAGGGGCTAGAACAGCTTTTCGACAATAATTTTGGGGCCAAGTATTGAAGCTGTCCATCAGGCATCTGACTCTGAGAGAAAGACAGACTTCAGCTATGCCGAAAGAGGCATGCCAATCAAGCCTGGGGATAAAATCAGGCTAACATGACCCAGTCATTAATACAGCGTCCACATGGAAGAACACACCAGCCTGTGTGATCACGGGGTACCAAAGGGATCAGTTATCAGGCATCAAAGAACAAAAAATCATATCACTGTGTGCTCACCTCCATGATACGATTGCTGAAGACAAATGGGGTGCATAAGCAAATGTGCCGAAGAAAGCTGATAGTGCCCGGCTATCAAAATGTATAGCATCTGGGGTCTTAAAGGCTTGAAGGTAAACAAGCGGGGTGTCGAAGGGATCAGGTATAAGGCATCAAAGAACAAAAAAATCTTACCATAGTGAATGAGGGGGGAGTGCAGAGTGGAGACCCAAAGCCCATCTGTAGGCCACTGGAGATCCTCTTGCAGAGGGGTCTCGGGGAGGAGATGAGTCAGTCAGGGTGCGATGTAGCAACAATGAAAAACACAACTTTCCTCTGGTTCCTAAATGCTTCCTCCCCCCACCCACTATCATGATCCGAATTCTACCTTGCAAGTCTGGCTAGACCAGAGGATCTACACTGGTACAGATAGGAACTGGAAACACAGGGAATCCAGGGCGGATGATCCCTTCAGGACGAGTG